TGAATATAGATTCATAAATGGCTTGTCTCATAGGCTGAGAGGCCGACATATTGCGAATTCATACACGTGATCAGAGTACGAGCTCACGCTACGTTCTCGTCATGACTGTGTTTGTACTGTGTAGACAATAAAGCCAAGATGTATTGCGAAGTATATGTGGTGAGCAATACAGTACGCGACGCAAGTATATCATACTTGCATACATGATCGGCTCAAGTGATGAAACAGATAAATGAGATTGGTGCGGCACATACGAGGGATAACCATACACTCAATACAATGACCGTTTGCGCCCACTCCCCGCGACCTCAAAATCATCATCGATATATAACCACCACTTCCCTCCACAGAAAGATATACCACCACAGACTGAAGCCTGAGAGACGGAAACATAATCACATACGACCAGAACCGCAGCTTAAAACACACACCAGAGCAATGTATGCAGGTACATACACAGACACAACACATACAACACACACAATACACTCGCACAAAGACTTCTGCGGCTCCGCTAACCATAAAAAAATTGTGGTTTAACATGCGCTATGTACACCTGGGTATATACACTATGAAGAGGACACTGCAGCATCTTGCACACTCGCATACACACAGCTGGAATCAACCCACCCAGCCAACTTGGCAGCCCCCCCCATCCACAAGCTCACAAGTAATGACATCACCGAGACACCCAACCCCAGTTGTTCAACCATACCACTCTCGCGCGGGTCCCATAACCGCACGGCCTTGTCGGCTCCCGCTGATACTATCAGATTGGCACTCTCCGAGTACGCGATGCTCTGTATAACCTTGCCCCCCACGAGTGTGTGCACCACACGGCCGCTATTGATATCCCATTGGCGTATGCTGTGATCCCACGACGCACTGTAGACGGTGTTCTGTGGGCCGTATACGACCGATGTGACGCCGTTGGTATGGCCCTCGAGTACCAGCGACGCCTCCCGCGTGGTGGTGGTTGTGCGCTGGGCGGAGACTGTTGGCGGGTTGGACGGAGGGAAGGGATGTGATGAGGAGGTGTGTGTAGAGACCCTATATGGCCACACAGGCCGAAGTGCAACAACGGAGAGGAATTGTGACGAATGAGGTATCTATTCTGTGATAAAGGCATGTATATGCTTCTCAGTACGTCGTGCATGTTTGGTACAATCGTTGGTGTGGCCCACGCACGCTACCAATTGTAGAATGGACTACCGACACACCTGAAAATTTGAGAAGGTCTTCAATATGCGTTTGGATAGCTGCCAATCCGTATACAAAAATATCTACAAACCCCTCATACCGTTTGTTTTCCGTTTCTTCTTTCCGCTTTGTTCCTCTTCGCCCTCGAGTGAGCCCGCGGGTGCCAATGACCACACGCGCAGAGTCTTGTCGAATGAACCACTAACACAGGTCTGCCCATTTGATGATACAGCCACGCCTTCCACACTTCCTGTATGGCCCGATAGTAATAGCTGCGATGCAGGTATAGATGAGGTGAGCGTAGGAAGGGTAACCACAATTGATGAAAGTACTTGGATACAAATACTCGAAGCAGTAGGGTGCTGTGAGATGTGTTTGTAGTCATGTTGTACGTGATCACTGAATACAAATACTCACAGCAATAGGTATACAAGCGTTGTCTGATTGGAGCAATCTCTTATACATAGGACAATTGGAGGGAATACGATCCGTATAGCCAGGTAGCAACGAACCAAAGCCATGGTCCAATGAAAACCGGACAAATATGTGCACCATGTGTTGGCCGAAGGTTTGGCAGCGATCCAAAACCGATGTGAGTCGTGTCACAATCAGGATTTGGACTATATGTATCCTTAAAATAACTATTGAGACTTCGATAGGCAGCATTCTAGGTCTGAAAGGAAACGACCCAAAACCACGTAGTTAAAAAATAGGCCAACGAACTTCAAAATACATAAACCCCAACGACATAAACACGTATGCACACACCTTGGTAGTCAAGCTCTCTTCCCTCACCCCACCCCAAACTCGCAGAGAATGGTCCAGCGAAGCCGTGACAAACATATCATCGCTTATAGTCTCCAGCCTTTTGATACCCCCTGTATGTTCTGCGGCTGTGGCTACACGATCACCCGTACCTGACCACAAACTGACTACGCCATCGTATGATCCCGTCAGTATAAGCCCGTTGCTGTTGGTATCTAGCGCACCCACCCAGTCGTCGTGGGGGAGTTCAGTACTAGCCTCCGGAGCGGGTGTGGCCATGAAAAACTCCAGCTTGACAATTGTCTCCCGCGAGAGAGCGTGAGATTCTAAGTATTTGGCGACCTGATGGCCAATGAGAGTGCATTTGGGAATATTTAATACAGAGGAATAACTCATCCATCCAGAACTTTAAATACATATTCGGGTGTTACTTAAGAGGCAAGGATAGAGAATTTTACCAAATACTCATGATACGGTCACATCAAAGCAAAGTATCCGTATATGAACGATACACACATTGAAGATATATACAGTGAATTGGAAAAAGTACAAAATCGTAAACATATTTTCAATCTCAGCGTAGAGCTATAGGTTCCTAGTTCACATTTTCTACCATGCAGAAGTCTTTATAACCGCAAGAATACACAAATACAAATAAGAATACAAAAAAAATACGAATATATATATATATATATATATATTTACGTGGATGTGGATATGTCCATGTATATATATATGTATATACCTGTAGCTGTTATTTATAATGTATATATAAATATATAGATATATCTATACATATACGCATTTGCATATGTATGTATATATATATACACATACACACACACATATATACGCATTTGTATATTTATATGTATATATATATATGTATGCATACACACACACACACACACACACACACACATATATATATAATATACATATAAGTACATACAGACATCCATATACATCCATATACAATTAAAAATCGAAATACATATGTAGCTATAAATACATCAATTTACAGATATATGAATATAGAAATTAATAAATATATATTTGAAGATACATATACATATATATATATATATATATATTATATGTATATTCGTATATATAGATATAAATATATATATATATACCCATATATACATAGAAAACATACATGAATATATATATTCATATAT